GCATGGTAAGTCTTTCTACAATAAATGTGTAAGATGTCGGAATATTTGGCACCCGGTTAAATGGAATATTATTTTCCTCTCTCTTAGTCACGCATTGCTCATTCCCTAACTTCACAACAATCTTTGTTCCTAGAAACCAGCAACTCTACCAGAGCTCAAGCTCAAGCTTTATAATTACAACTAATGACTATACGTCTAAGACCCGTCTAAGACCCAGCTCAACGTTACGACTGATTACGACCTAGCGGCTTATCAATTGGAGTCGAGCTAATCAAACAATCACAGTCAACAGCAAAATTATAATCACCTTTAGGTTTGGTGAAATTTTGATAAAAGAGAATTTTTCTGCAAATAACTAAACGTAAACAAAATTTTCCATAAATGATAATAAAAAGTTCAACTAATTACTTGAGTAATCTAGTTAATAATCAGTGCAGTTGAGGTCCACAAAACAACAATAGGTATATAAGTAGAGCTACGGCCCTTAAACTGCTCAGAGTTCGTTTGACAACAGGTGCGTTAAAAGTCAAAAGCGAGAGAAATGGGAAGTCGTAATACCGTTAGTGTGGTAACACAGTTACTAGTTATTTGTGGACTTTTGGTTTTAGTCTCGACTATACCAACAACTACGCAGGTTGTAAACAAATTTCATGTGAAGGACTTGGAACCAGTGCAAGATAAACCCAGCTCACGCATTGTGGGCGGTCAATATGCAGCCGATGGACAATTTCCACATCAAATAGCATTATATATACGCGGCGGTTTGCTTGCGGTGGTTCGATCATTAGTGAAAGTTATGTTGTGACGGCAGCACATTGTGTAACCAGTCGACCTGGCAGCAAGTGAGTCTACAGCACACCAAATAACTTAATGTACAAGATGTTTATTTGAGGTTTCCCCCTTTCTAGATTTCCAGCTTCCGACTTCACGGTACGCGCAGGTTCTACTCAGCTCTACACAGGCGGTGTATACAAGAGCGTCGCCGAGACCATAGTTCACCCACAATATGATGATTTCGTATATGATATTGCGATCTTGCGTTTAAGTACGAAACTCTCCTTCAATAATCAAATTAAGGCAATACCGTTGGCTACCGCTGAGCCGCCCAACCGTTCCCCTGTCACCATTTCCGGTTTTGGCCTCGTGAGTGCGAATGGTGAATTGTCGTCACGTCTTAAATACAACATTTTGCGCAGCCTCAGTAATGCCAATTGTAAACGTTTCATTGATGATGTCGACCCGACAACGCTCTGCCTATCGCACACTGTAGGTAATGGTGCTGCGAAGGTGACTCTGGTGGTCCAGCTATCTACAAAGGTCGGTTGGTCGGTTTGAGCAGCTATGGTGTTGGTGATTGTGCCTCCACTTTTCCCGATGCTTATACGAAGGTTTCCTTATTCCGCAATTGGGTGCGCCAAAACTCTGACTTGCCGTGAGTCAAACGAATCTAAAGCGAACTGACTAACCATTGTGAAATGTGTAAATCAAAATAAAAAACTTATTATGAGCAACAATTATTGTAAACTAATAAGAACTGTGTTGGACTTTACGTGTATATTGATTACTCTATTCTGTGGAAATACTCTAGCTTTGAGGTTGTTATAATTTTATTGTGGTAAACTACCAGTAACTTTGCGCTTTTAGTCTCGGGATGAGTCGCAAGAGTTCCGTTGTGCTGTGCATGTATGTATCTCAACCCCTCCTTCTTCTAGGCACAACTCAACTTATTAGATTTGTATTGCACTCAAGACTTGTGGTCGGTTTACGAAGATTTATCCGAGGTCAGACACTTAGCAGCAACAATCTTATAACTTTAGCGGTTCAAATATGATCTTCCTGCAACCAAGTCTAATTAACCTAACTAACCTGTTTCTTATAACCTAGAACTGTCGGCTTCCTATCCAATTAATAAAACTACTTATTTTTAGAATCAATCTAGATCATTCTATCCAGGTACAGATAATTCCAACAGTGTGGTCAGATATTTCTGCAAAACATATTTACCAAATTCTCTTGGTGTTATTCCTGATCACTGAGAACTCTTAAAGCTATACGAAGCACTCGATGTTTACGTTTAAAGGTATCGCAGTTTTAAAAACCCCATTTAAGCGAATTTATACAGAAACTATTATTTTTAAAATCTGTTACTTGTTACTTGTGTTTGTTAAGTGTA